AACATAACACTCCAGGTAAACATCCTTTTCACTCATTAAGCACAATTGCTTAGAGCGAAGACAATGTCAAGGTGATGTTTGCTGTCCAGTTTTAAAATTACATTAGAGCAATGCCTTCCAGGGGTTCACCTAGCCTCCAAGGCTCCAGACGTCTAGTCATGAGAATTTGAATTTCTGTTCTGTATCCCCACCCCCACCCCTTGCCCCCAACTGTGAATCTTCTATGGACTGTTTGTGCAAAATGTTGAGTAATGTTAGCCCAGCACCAGCCAGATCTTCTGGTCTCGGGGCAAAGGAGGCAGTTGTTCAGGGGGTAATTAGTCAAACATTCCATATCTCCCTGCTATTCCTGGCTCTCCAAGCAAACACACCAGCTGTGCATTGGAGAGGCACGGGTAAGCGCTACATACACTACACAACAGAGTAGGCGCTACAAAAGAAATACAACACACGCTCTATCAATGAGCTGGGTTGTCCCAAGGAACCACGATCCTACATCTCAATCAAATCCCAGCAGCAGCTACTCTATTCCGGTGTGGTTGTAAGCATGCCACCACTTGCACTAGCTCATCTTTCAGCGTGTGTGCAACTCCTCGACAGCAATTACAATCTTCATCCACGCAACTCCGCCATTAGCTCCCCTTTCCCCTAGTACGACTAAAACGCTTTGTCTCGATACACTTGCTTTTGGGCTTCATTATCCGAATGAAAGCATGTACTTGGCCTTTTTGCATGGATTGATTTCTCTCGGCAAACGGTCTTCCAGCTCTCGTTAGATTGCAGTGGGCACCAGGGCTTCATGTCTCCTGCTGGCATCTAAGGGTCTAGGCATTCATCTGTGGACGGGCCTTCACCTCTGCCCTGTGGCTACCGTGAACAGTGCTGCAAAACACTGGTGGACACGTCTGCCCGAATCTCTTCCTTCAAGGCTTTTGGGTGCGTGTACTAAACGGCCGTGTACCAAAAGGCCGAGAAGTGAGGTGTGTGTGTACACAGGCGTAGCATTTCTGGATCATGTGATACTTGGTTGTGGTACAACCAGTTTTCACAAAAGCACTGTCGTCCTGCATTGCAGTAGCAATAGGAAAATCATCCAATTTTTCCCACATCTGTGGTAGTTACCTCATCTGGTGCCAACTTGAGAGGACTAAGAGTGAAGGGGTGGAGTCTAGCCAGCCAATCAGG